ATTGGCTCCAAAAATTTATTGTTGTTTGGTTGGGGATCATTCAATTTTTGTAAGTACGTTTCCCGGTTAAGATATGCGTATTTATTGACAATTTTGATATTTGAATATCGATCAAAAGTCTCAATATTTGAATTTCTACAACATTATATTGACTTTTTAAGTTATTTAATACATTTACTAATCCTCAAAGTATATGAAATTAATACAAAACTTAATTATGTTTACATGAATTGCCGTTATAGTACACAAATTAGACGCATATTATCAGTGAAAATGCAAAATCAGGTACACGATAAGTACATGCATTAATGCATATATGATTGTTATAAACTTAAAAAATATAAAACTAATGATCTCGTTTGCATCGACCACTTTAATTAAATATCTTTTTTCAGAAAATATTTGTTCTCTAAGTGTACTCTAAATTTAGAAGAAAGTCGAACTACAAGCGTACTAAATTTCTAAAGATGAGCAAGAAAGATTAGGTTACGTTAACTTTTTAGTAGTTGATCGAAATAATTGCGTGTATATGCAACGTAGCTACGTACTGAAATAAAAACAGAAAACAAATCTACGTAGTACGTACTGAACCAGTGACTAGACAGAAAACTATTACTGAAACGAATTCTAAAATAAATTAATTCTACAATGTCACCAAAATAATTAGTTGAAACTTGAAACTTTATATATAGCTGTACATGCCAAAAATATCAATCGATCATGAACATAATATTATTTTATAGGGCAATGTTATTATTTCTTAAACTATTCTACAAATTAAATTTGCAATACTGATGAAGTTCACTTATTCGGTAATGGTACCATAAGAAATTTAAGACCACCAGAAAAATAATTAACTTATCCGTTGATAAACATTCCATTGTTTGCTAAAAAAAATGAAAAACTTCATTTACATAGTTATCATCCCTTGTAAATTTCATGTCATCTTAGTTAGTTAGGTAAAATGATGTATTTTCCACAATCATGATCATTGATCAACATATACAGTCATTTGTATCTAGAAACTCGAATTCGAGTTGTTTCCTAAGAATTATGATCCACGAAACATTTGCCAATATTTGGTAGTATCTAGAAACTCGAATTCGATCGTTTTCTAAGAAATTTGGTAATCTTTTTATTAAAATTTCAAATGGTGTACCTTTTTAATTACTAAATGAGTGTTAGTGACGTAATGGGCATGATCGAGTTATAGTACGAAGGTATATAATAAACATTGTCATTTAAAGTGAGAACACAAATCTAAAAGTTATACTATCCATTATAAATGTGACCAAAAAAATAAAAATAATATCCTTTATAAACGTGTGTACGTACGTACCACACACTGAGAATATAACACAAACGAATGATAAGATAAATACATAAACGATATACTATTGTATATCAAAAAAAGAAAGCTCAACGAACAGTCGAAGCAACCAACTAACTATCAAAATTCAAAAGATATGACGTCGCTGTTAAAAAATATTGTAGTTATAAGTTTCGTAGTAGTCGCTTCGATTGAAACATATCCCAAACTTTAATAATGATTATTTCATATCTGATAGAGCTTTAATGCTAGGGCCTTAATAGTTAAAGCCATCGGTTTGGCTGACCCTTCTTGAATACAAACAATATTTTTAAAACCGCACCGGCAACAGAACCGGAAAAACATTTGGATCGTGGGTCAATGTTGTTCGATCGAGTTCAACAGAGTTTGATGATATTTTGAAATTATTAGTATACTTAATCTTATACTCTTCTAATATCAAATAAAACAGTTGAATAAATTTAAAAATTTAGAAAATCTAAATAAAGAATACACATAAATATCATAAATATTAAAAACAATTTAATTCTAGTAGTTTTGGCGATTTAGTCAAAGAGTGAAGAGAATATGTCTATAATTTCTCTAATATGTACTTTATAGTTTAATTTTATACTGCTGGCTATTAAGTTTCAGAACAAAAGATTCGAATAAAAATAGGAAAAAAAAATGTAACTAGAAGAACTCTAAACGTCATTACTCACGGGGCAATTACAAAAATACCATTTTTGTATGCACATTTGCAAGAATGCTACTTAGGGGTGTTCATTTACAAAAATACCACTAATTATAGATTTA